ATTACCACCAACGAGAGCCCATCGGGTGGGGCCGTCCCCTGGGCAGTGGCACGTTCGATCGGCACCCTGACACAAGACGGCGCCCGGCGTGCCACCGCCCAGGGGCCCGTCCTTCGCCGATGGGTTTTCGGTGGCGGTGCCCAGACCGTCTCCTCTCCTCCTCCTCCTCCTCCTCCTCCTCCTCCTCCCTCCTCCTCCTCCTCCTCCTCCTCCTCCTTCTCCTCCTCCTCCTCTGGCCCCATCTAGGCTGCCCAGCCTGGAGTATGTGCGAACTCTGTGGCGCAGCTTTTGTCTCCCAGTGCTGAACGCCGAACGCCATGCCTCTTTACCCTCGCAGTGCTGACTTCTTTGTGCCCTGCTCGCGCGCTGCTCGGCACGCGCGCGTGGGTACTGCACCCGCTCTTTTGACCTACGCTAGGAGTAGGTCATGAAACCACGTCTTGCTGCGCCCGAGCATCAGCGGCCTGAGCGTTTCCCAGCCTTCTGTCACGCGGGGCAGGGCGACACACTATCAGCTCGCACGGCATATTCAGCGTGTCACTGGGGCCGCCGCCGCGACACGCTACGCAAAAGTTCCTTACTGTAGTGTCCTCCTCCCCAGACTCCCGATGTATTTTTTCACGTTGACCCCATTCCCGAGGAGCGGCTTTTCCCCGGACGTCTTCTGACCCATTCCCCGGTAGCGGCCACGGCGAGGGCCCCCAGAGGCGAAAACTGCAAACAACCTTCCGTCGTTATTTTTTCACGACGCAGAGGGAGGGCCCGGATGACCACAGAGTCCGAAACGCGCCGGCATCAGAACAGTGGTCGAGATCGTCGCCTATTTCTTACTCATTGTCTTGGCGATCCTGGCTGGGCCGACGCTGGGACCGGGGCCCGGGGTCGGGGTACTCAGGGGCAACGTCGGGGGGGAAGAGTCTTGGCGATCCTGGCTGGGCCGACGCTGGGACCGGGGCCCGGGGTCGGGGTACTCAGGGGCAACGTCGGGGGGGAGAGGTTGACATCGGGCATGTCCCTCTACAGGAGGAATATCCAAGAATTGTTCAAAAAGGGTCTGGTGACGATTTTTCGTGCTCTTGTGGCTATTTTTGATCATTTTTTTTTCGCTGCTGTCCCACTCTTCTTCCAAGATCCGCCTGTAGGAGGACATGCCCGACCTGAGGATGGGTTCGAGGCCCGAGGCTTTCTCGGACGTTCTCGTTGCCCCTCGGAGGTTTCCCAGCCTCGGGACGCCTCCCATGACGAACGAACAACACACACCCGTACCCATAGGGAGGTCGTTGGGAGGAGGACTGGTTATGCGTATGGGCGCGGGTTGTCGGACCCTGGGGAACGCTCCCGTTCGAGCGGGGACCCCCCTCCGACAACACGCACCCATAGCCCTCTCCGATCCCCCTATGGGTATGGGTGTGTGTTGTTGGTTCGCCCTCCCAGCAGAACCCCGCCCTCCTGCCGAGAGCGCGCATCGCCACGAGAGGCCGCCGGAGAGCGGAGCTCCGGGGGGGGCAACGTTCGGGGGGCAGCGTGAAGGGGGGCAGCGTTGAGGGGGGGCAACGTTCGGGGGGGCAGCGTGAAGGGGAGGAGGAGGAGGAGGAGGAGGAGGAGGAGGAGGAGGAGGAGGAAGGAGGAGGAGGAGGAGGAGGGAGGAGGAGGAGGAGGAGGAGGAGGAGGAGGAGGAGGAGGAGGAGAGGAGGAGGAGGAGGAGGAGGAGGAGGAGGAGGAGGAGGAGGTTGGAGGAGGAGGAGGAGGTTGGAGGAGGAGGAGGTTGGAGGAGGTTGGAGGAGGAGGGGGGGCAACTTTAGGGGGGCAGCGTGAAGGGGGGGCAGCGTTGCAGCGTGAGGCGGCAAGGTCGGGGGGCGGGACGCAGCGACCCCCAGCCGCCCGCTCCTCGCGGACGGGGGCTCGACGGCCCCCCCCGCCCAGGAGCGGGCGGGCTCGCCCTCGGGGGACGCTCGCCGAGCTGTCCGCGCCGCATCGCCGACTCAAGCTCGAAGCTCCGCACCCGAGCCAGTTCCCTGGTGTGCATGCTGCTCCTTTCCAGTGCCCGCACGGGGCCCCGCCGCCGCCGGAGCCCCGGCGCAGCAGCCGCCTCAGCCCCCACCGGCGGGGCCGGCCGCGCCAGCCGCCTGCCGCTTTGGGCGTGGCCCGTCCCCCTGAGCGGCCCTCGCCCTTGTTCTCCCTCCCCGCGGCCGCCCGCTCTTCCGTCCTCCCCTCCTCTTGCGTGGTGGCCACTTCGCTGCAACGGTGCCCCGCTTAGTTAGCCTCGTCCGCCAGCGCAGACGATCCCTGCCTAGCCTAGCCGCCGACGCACAGTGGGGACCCATGCCAATAAACACCCTACTTGCCTCCAGGGTGCCCTGGGTTTCTTGGGTTTCGATGGTTTTGCCATGGAAAGCTTGACGTTCCCGCGCCAAACAGAAATCAGTGGACCTTCTGGGGTCTAAGGGTTGGGTTCCTTGTGGAAGGTTTCTCGTGGTCCGGCCCCTACTGTAAACAGCCTTCCTGGCCGAGCCGAGGGGACGCACCGGCCCTGGGCCCCGGAGTGGCCGGGCCAGGGTTGGTGTCCGTGTGCGGCCCAGCGACCTCGTGCGCTCGGGGGGGAGGCGTGGGTCGGGGCCGCCGTGGCCCGAGGCTCCTGGGGGGCGACAGATGGGGAGGAGGAGGAGGGGGAGGAGGAGGAGGAGGAGGAGGAGGAGGAGGAGGAGGAGGAGAGGAGTTGGAGGAGGAGGAGGAGGAGGAGGAGGAGTAAGGAGGTTGGAGGAGAGGGGGGGAGGAGGGGGGGGAGCAGGGGAGGAGGAGGGAGGAGGGAGCTGGGGCGGCATCCTCGCCTAGTCTCCTCGCCTCGCCTAGCCTGAGGCTCCTGGGGAGTACGTGGGGGGCAGAGGGCTGCCGAAAAGGGGGCCTTCGAGGGCCCCGAAAGGGCCCTTTCGGGCCCAGAGGGGGGCCTCTTGGGGCTTGAGAAGGGCACTTTTGCCCCCACCCCACCCCCCCCCCCCCCCCACCCCCCCCCTCCCCCCTCCCTCATTTATAGCCCACCGTTAGTTCGCGCCCAAGGCTCGGTGATACAGTTCTCGGCGCTTGTGGGCCTCGCTGGGCCTCGGGCGGCCTTTGGAGCGCCTCCCAGGGACCTCCGCTGAACTGCAGGGACCTCTGGGCAGTTCCGTTTGTTTTCAGATCCAGGGCTTCCAGGGGCAGCTTTCGGGGCCCTGGAACGTCACGGAACGACCTGGGCTGTCCTGGCGGTCCAACGCCATGAAGTCTCAATCCAAACTTATCAAGCTTTCTGTTGTTATTGTTGGTGTTTCATTTTCATGTATGTTGTTCTTCCTTTTCTTGGTCGGATGCATGTCTTTTTGTTTTTGCTTGCATCGCGTGCTATGGGGCGCCAGGCCGCCAACGCGTAGCCGTTCTTCGTGCACAACATGCCAGTCCTGTAGAAAAGGATGCGGTTTCTTGCCCATGGCAAGAGCAGTTTGCTCGCTAACCTCCAAGTTTCCTGTTGTGGTGTCGTCGCGTGATATGGCATGTCTAGTTTAGTTCATAGCATTCAATTATTCAGTTTGCTGGCAAGTTGTGGCTTTTTGTTCGTGCTATTTCCATATGCTTGCATGAGAGTTTGCTTGATTTTGAAAGGCACGCGCACTATAGTGTAGGTTTTTAGGCGCGGTTCGGGATTATTATTTTCCGACATGAATTCGGCAATTAATGCATAAGCAAGTTGCTAGGATCAATTTGAGAGTTATGTCGCTGCTTCAAATTATCCGGTTTAGTTTTGCTGCCGCATCGCCCGTTGATTACCTCCTTAATGACCCTGCTTAATTTCTTGCTGAATTTTCCCGCTTAATTTTCCTGCTCGTTCTTACTGCTAAATTTGTTGCTGAGCTTTATTGTTTAATGTTATGTTCAATTCTTGCTGCTGCTTAATTTCCTGCTTGTTTTTTCTGCTAATTTTTCCGCTTCATTTTTTCCTGCCTTAATTTTCCTGTTAATTTATCCTGCTAATTTGTTCCCATCAGTTCGTCGTATGAATTCAGCAGGCTCCGCTAATGTCGGCGGCGATCCATGTTTTTAGCGACGTCGTTAATCATCGCCGCCAATCTATTTCTAATTTGGGTAAATCCTGCGTGTACCAAACATTGCGGGTGCGTCTGGGGAGCTCCCAGAGGAAAGCTCGTATGCCGCCGATTTAGGCTTAAACGGGAGCCTGAATCGGCGCCGTCGCGTGGCGCCTCAATTTCTGCGCTGAAATTGACGCCTGGCTGTTCGACGTAGCACAGGCTTGATTTCCCTGCTTAATCTAATTGTACTGCTGACTTTTCCTGCTTTCATTTCCTGCTTAAGTTTCCTGCTCAGTCTCCATGCTCAACTTCCTGCTCGAGTTTGCTGCTCAGTTTCTTGCTCAAGTTCCCTGCTCGATTTCCTGCTGAACTTTCCTGCTTAATTTCTGGTTGGATGTTACTGCTCAGTTTCCTGTTTCATAGTTCTGTTTAATTTCCTGCTCAGTTTTCCTGCTGAAATCACTGCCTGAGTTTACTGCTTAGTTTCCTGCTTCATTTTCCTGCATATTTCTTCTTTTGGGGGCTTCTTCTCGTTTGCTGTATAAGGTTTGTTTTGGTGAACGCTGTTGTGCTACGTCGAGAGCTTGAATGTGGATTCATTTATTCTGGGTATTTGATTGCATTTTATTTCCAGCTTGAGCTGATGATCGTCTCCACAGCGAGCTACGGCCGTCATTTGTGAGCTGGGACGTGATTTCCGTCCGTACTTGTGCACAGGCATTAGTTCCAGTCTCCATCTCAGCATCATCTCACGCGGTTTGAGCCACCCTCCCCACCCCCCTCTCACCGGCAGGAGTCCATGTCGGCAGGAGGCAAACGTTTGGTTGTCGACACCTCCGCGGGCTACCTCTACATAGTCCCAGACATACGGACACATAGCAAACATTGTGCCCTCATTTGTGTACGTCGGTCCGCCACGAGTGCTGAAAACTGGTCCCAAGGAAGGGGCCAAGAGCCCCGGGAGCCCACGCTACGAAGAAATTGCGACGCTGGAGGGGAGGGGACATCAAAGTTCATTGGGCGCGACCGACAATAGAGCCACCGCACCCAGAGGCCTGCGCAGGGCCAATAAGGATGACAGCTTGTAACATCTTCGATCTTCGACGCAACAGCCCTTCAGGCTCTAAATCATCTTGCCTCTTAGGAGGAGGAGGAGGAGGAGGAGGAGGAGGAGGAGGAGGAGGAGGAGGAGATGGAGGGGGAGATTCAGGTGGAGACGGAGGAGATGGCATGCAGGAAAACGTCGTCGGCCGTAACACACAGCAGCAGGACAGGTACGCAGCCCAACGGTTTTAACACCAGCCGAGCTTCCGTGGGAGGCTCACGCGCGGTGCCGGTCGACGGGAGGGGCCCACCCAAGACCACCCACGGCACGCTCGGAGCATGCAAGCAGCAGGTCCGCGACAAGGCGACTGTGGGGCCCACGCAGGCGAGCCTCCCGAAGCTCGTTCCTCTCGTTCTTCCTCTCGTTCAGGATGGGCCGATTGCCCATCACCACTACCATAGGCAGGAGAGGGAGGAGGAGGAGGAGGAGGAGGAGGAGGAGGAGGAGGAGGAGGGAGGAGGAGGAGGGAGGAGGAGGAGGAGGAGGAGGAGGAGGAGGAGGAGGAGGAGGAAGGAGGAGGAGGAGGAGGAGGAGGGGAGGAGGAGGAGGAGGAGGAGGAGGAGGAGGAGTAAGGGAAGGATGATGATGAGGAGGAGGAGAAGGAGGAGGATGAGGAGGAGGAGGAGGAGGACGAGGTAGTAGATAGACAGAGCGGCCTGGGGGGGCGGAGCAGTGCATGAGCAGTATGGATGGGCCCCCGCCGTCGCCGCTCAGCGGCACCTTCACTGTGGCCACGGCGCCACGCTGCACCCGCCACTTGCCGAACGAGGCGTAGTCGATCGGCCACTCCCGTTATAATTCACATCCCAGCGAGCCATGCCGCCAGTTCATCTTCCATGACTCCCGCTGGAGGCCTGCCCGTCTTCGCGGTGGCTCCAACCTGTAGCAGGGCGCGGTGGATACTGTCTTTGATGTTGGCCTGCTTCAGCTGGAGCTCTGACGGGTCCTCCTCTGCTTCTGCTTCTGTCCATGCACCCTGCTCGATGAATATGGTGAGCTTGGCTTGGTTGCCGTCGAAACACTTGCTGAGCTTCCGATGCTTGACATTGTTGAGGACCGTCGCTGCGCCGATCGTGTCCACGAACTTCCCGTGCTCCGTCAAGATGGTCCTGGTCTTGGCCCCCACGTCCTCGGTGCAGAGGGTCGAAATAAGTGTGATGTACATGTGTCCCTCGGGCGGACCGAAAGAATGACCTTTGCCCGCCTCCCTGCATCTGTCCGCGTAGATCTTCCTGCAAGCCCTCAGGGATTTGATCACCTTGCTCTGCGTGGGCATGAGGTACGTACTGTAGACTGCTGCTACCACCCACGCCAGCTGCTGCGTGTTGGCTAAAACCTGTTTGATGAGGACCGTGAGGAGCTTCTGGAGCTTGGGGTCGCACTTCGTCTGGTAGGCCTCTCCACCTCTCTGGTGGCGCTGAAGGCGTTGTCCTGCTGATGCTGCCGCGGCTGGTCCTGCGTCGCCCTTCTCCTGCGTGTCTCCCATGGCCGCGTCCTCGCCCTCCGCGGCGCCCTCGCCCTCTGGCCCTTTCTTCTTGTTGCCCTTGCCGCCTTTGGGGTGCGCCGTCTTCTGGTGCTTGGCCGTGCGCTCGGTGTCCGCCATGCTGCTGGCCACGTCGTTGATCTCCTTCTCGCTGGGCACGCACCAAGTCATCTGTGTAGAGGCCGATGGCTAAAGAAATCTCGTGCTGCTCGGATGGCAGGTGTATCTCGCAAATGTGGTCCTGGAAGCTTGAGAGGTGTGGAAACGGCGGCAGATCAGGACAGAGTTGGCAAACTGGATTCTCCAAAGTAGGTAGTGGGTAGCTGAGTCTCGTGTTGTCGGCAATGCAGCGCTGATGCTTAAGAGACCGCAACAGATGGTCTTCAGCTTGGGCGCGATCGAGGAACGTCGTACGACAGAGGGGACACTGATTCGTGAGGTCACTGCTGCCGCTGCCGATCGCATCCCGTGTTCTCCACCTTTTGTCGCGGTCTGATGTGTGCAGAGTGCTGCCCATGTCGAGAAAACTCGGACACAGACTTGTCCTGTGTCCTTGCGGAGCTCACATTTGTAGAAGCCCAGCTCATCGCCATCTCGTACATCTTCCGCTGGTTGCTGAGGCTCGAGCCCTGGCGGAGGAATCGATACTGCTGATGCCTTGGCTCGGAGCTCTGCCACGTTTATCTTGAGGGAAACCATTGAGACTTCTGCGTCATGATAAAGTTGCGTGATGCTGCCGTCCCACATGTAGCTGAACTGCTCGGCGCTGTCAAGTTCGAGGATAGCGAGGATGTCCTGGTAGTACTGCTTGGCCATCGGGTTCGCCTCTGGCACGAGGCGGCCGTCGTCATCCAACTCGCCGTTCTGCTCCCTGTTGGCATCGTTCTCGAACTGGATGCATCCGAAGAGCGCCGTGAGCCACTGGTCATAGTCGGGCGGGTGAGGAGGGGGAGGAGGAGGACCTCCCCATCCTCCCTTCTTCCCCGTCCTATCCATGGTAGTGGTGGTGGAAAGTTTTCCCATCAGTTCATGAACATGGCGAGTTGCGCATGCAGGTGCTCGTCCGCCAGGTGCTCAGGTCATTGTCGGGCGGGCCGACCGCCGCGAGATGCGCGAGCGTCCCCGCGACGAGCTGCTTGCGCGACGGCGAGCCGAGATCCTGCACCGAAGGCTGCGAGGGCCCAACCGCCGTGTCCGTGAGTACCACGGACCCAGCAGTACAGTCGAAACCGACAGTGAGGACGGGCAACCTTCCCAAGGGTGCCCTTGCATCCCTGCCTCCTCGGCCCATCCTCAGCTCCTTTCGATTGCCAGCCCCGCTCGAATTGCTTCGACATGGGCGTCCAAGGGGCTTGCACCCTTCTCGCGCATCCTCATTCTCAGTTTTGACTGTAGCGGAAGCGCAGGGTCCGCAAGCGTCCGCGCCACCGGCGGCGGCCGCCAGCGGCGCGGGCCGCGGCACGCCATCGGCCCACGAGTCGCCGAAGCTCACGACGGACGCGGACCCCTCGTCACGACCCGTCTCGACCCTGGCCCGCACTCCACCATACCCTTCGGTTGCATCAGGCCGCCCAGCGCGCGCCGCTGGCGCGCCGCTGGGCGCGCCGCTGCCCGAGGCGACGGCGCCGTCGGGGACGTCGCGCTCAACCTCTGCCGCCGCCGTGGGAGGCGGGCGGGCCAGCCAGCGCGGCGCCATCGGCACCAGGCTGCGCCCGCACGGCGAAGGCTGCCGCCGACAGCCGAGCGCGCGCCACAGCGGCGACCGCTCGTCTCTCGGTGCTTCGGCAAGCACGGGTCGGCACGGGCAGCAGCAGCCACGAGGGCGGCGCCGTCCGAGACCGAGAGAACCCCTCCGGCCCCTCGCCGAGCCGATGGGTATGCGTCGACCGAGAAGTAAACGACACCACCCCACCCCACCTACGGACCTCCATGCTGCGCTGCGGCCCATGGGGCGCCGTTGCGTATACCACGCAAAAGCCCACGCCAGGTTTCCTGGTACGCGCTAAGCCCCCGCCGTAGGTGGGGTGGTGTCGTCTGTTTTCTGGTCCATGTGCAATCGCTTGGGCCGAAACGGGAGCGGGAGACGGGGGAGGAGGGGAGGAGGAGGAGGAGGAGGATTCGAGAAGGGTTCGTGAGGGCGGGGGCGAGAAGGAGATGATGGGAGGACGATGGTGGCATCACGATGACCGCCGCACCGCCCGTCGCGCCCGTGCCCGCCGCTGTGCCCGTCATGCGGGCCAGCAGGTTTTTGGAGGGCTTCTTCCAGTATGTCGGGGAGACTTCGCTGATAGGCGATGCGGGCGGGTGCGGCCGCCTCGTTCACCTCCTTCTACTCGTCGTCCTCCTGGTCGTCGTCGTCCTCCTCCTCATGCTCCTTCTCCTCCTCCTGCTCCTGCTTCATGTGCTCCTCCTGTGTTTTTTGTTTTTTTGTTTTTGTTGTTTCCTCTTCCCTGCACCTCCTCCTTCCTATCCTCGTTCTTTCTCCTCCTTTTTCTCCTGCTCCTCCACGGACGGTCAGTGCAAACGGGGGTCAGCCAGAGCGCTGGATCTTGCAGGATGCAGAGCCATGGGTGCATTGACCTGGGCTAGCGCGCATGATCTTGTAGGATCCTGCGGGACTCTGCAGGATCCTGCAGAGCCTCACTGACCCGGGCTTGTATTCACTCGGGTCGGTGCGTCCCCGAACAGGTGCGGACTGAAAAGTTCGAATCGTCGGATGTCTGGCAGGGATCCTTGGTTGGCAGGGTCTCCCGAGGGCTTCTTCGCCCTGGCCTTCGTGGCCAGGGGCAGAGGGCCCTGGGATCCAGGCGCTGCACTTTTTTCGCACCCTCATCTTCCTCCTCCACCTCCTCCTCCTCCTCCTCCTCCTCCCCTCATCCTCCTCCTCCTCCTCCTCCTCCTCCTCCTCTCCTCCTCCTCCCCTCTGTTCGTTTCGGGCTCCCAGGGCCCTCACGGATCGATCGGCTTGAGAAGTGCCGCTCCGTGGGTGCGGCAATCATTTGTGCGAATACCGGCGGACTTGCCAGTGGGATTTGTGCGCGTTACGCGCATCGCAGTTGTGCGGCAATGCGTGTTGTGTGATCTTTTGGTATGCAGCTCTGCTCCAGGGGTCGGAGCTTACCGTACTTCTGCACGGCCTCTCCTTTTACTTCCTCACTCCCCTGTTTCTCTCCAGCCTGACGTCGCCAGTTCGTCTTGGGGTGAATTTATATCGATCCAGTCACTCGACATCCGTGCTGACCTTGCCGGCGAATGGGCGATTGTGGATGATCGTGTGGCCGCGCCAAACAAGAATAGCTGAGAATCATAGGGTCCAGTGCTCTGGTCGCGAATTTCTTCGTGATGTTGAGATTTTGGTAAGATGCCATATCTCAGAAAGACGGGAGGACGGACGGGGGCGGGTGAGGGGCGATGCATCAGCCCGAGCACAGGGCGCCTGTCAACTCGAGGGCTGATCCACTTGCAGGAGCGGGGCGGAAGAACTCAGGGGGGCCCCACTGAA